GACGCCCGGCTAATTTTTTTGTATTTTTAGTAGAGACCAGGTTTCCACCCGAGGTGAGCCACGATGGTGCTAGATCTCCCCGATTCTGATCCACCCACCTCGGCCTCCGCAGAGTGCTGGCTTTACAGCGTGAGTGACACCGCACCGGCCGACTACTTTTTGTAATATAAAGTGACAGAACGTTAAAGTTTCTTATTTTTAAACTGTTTGGTAGTCGTACTGTAGCTGAACTGACAGGTACATGATGTTGCAAGCCAGGATAAGACCTGGCAGAGTTCTAAAGGAAACTTTCAGCCTGGCATGTGGCCTCATGGCGGCGCGTATAATCCCAGGCATTGTCTTGGGAGGCTGGGCAGGGTGGATCCACTCAGGTCAGGAGTTCGGAGACTGAGCTTGTGCAAACATGTCGAACCCCATCTCTACTAAAAACACAAAATTAGCCAGGGTGTGGTGGTGGGTGCCTGTAAATCTCAGCTACTCGAGAGGGCTAAGGGCAGGATAATTGTTGAACCTGGAGAGGCGGCGGTTGCAGGTGAGCGGAGATACTGCACACTGCCACTCCAGGCCTGGGCAAAAAGATAAAATATCATCTCAAAAAAAGCTAAAAAATTAAAAATAAAAGAAAATGGTCAAAATGTACTATAAAAATTCAGCTTATCCTGCAAAGAAAGGACCTGCAAATGAGCTACATATGAGTAGAACATAAAATGGGACATCTTGAGTTCGCCTTGGAGAGGAAACTTCAATACACAAAGCCGAACAAAATTAAATAGGCCAAGAACATATTTTCTAAGACGCCTCTGTCGGGACAGTTAGATTTTTTTTTAGAAATTATGTGGTCCGATGCTACTCTGGCAAAATACTAGACCTAAGAGGTTCACTAAGTGAGAGTCTCCTCCACACAGTGGTTTTCCCTCTGTGCTCCCTGGGAGATCCCGATGGGTTTACTAGATTGAAGAGGCACACAGGCGGGGAATTCTGGGTATCCCGTGCCGCCTCCTGCATTTCCAAGATGGCAAGAGAAAAGCGTTTGCTGCTCTAAGAAAATGAAAGTAAACCAAAGCAAACAAAAAGAAGCACAATGTCAACCATCACAGGCCCTGAAACTAGATAACCTTTTCTTCGGTACTCGCAAAACAGAGAACACACGTTCTCATTACCATCAAATATTGTTCCTCGCAGAATGACTTCACAGGGAAAGTGTCGAGCTCAACACTTGGAGATATAGGACGCAAAGAATCACTACCGCATTTCCTTCCGGGTCCAAAGCTTTAACTCTTAGACTGCCTTGTATTTTACTTCTCCTTGCTGCCAGAAATTCGCCACACAATGCATCCGCAATGTAAGAAAGCATTCACCTACGGATGAGTACCCATCCAACGGGGCAAAGCGGCTGTTGGAGGGTTGTGTCACACAAGTCTGAGAGTTCATGTCATCTTCCCACCATCAAGAAGGCGGAGCTTCGGCCCCCTCCCATTGAACCTGGATGGGCCATTGTGACCATCTTGGATTCAGCAAATGTAAGCGAAAAACACCATTGACTTCCAAGGCTGGAACACGCAGAAGCGACATGGCCTCCATTGTTGGCGCTCTTCTGACGGATCGTTCGTCCTACAGTCCTGAGGCCAGGCATGGATGAGGCCCGGCTTCCCTGACTACATGCTGGTAGCCGCACAAAGGGGCGTGGTAGTGGGCACCTGTAGTCCCAGCTACTGGGGAGGCTGAAGCAGGAGAATGACGTGAACCTGGGAGGTGTAACTTGCAGTGAGCTGAGATCGCACCATTGCACTCCAGCCTGGGCGACTGAGCGAGACTCCATCTCAAAAAAAAAAAAAAGAAAAAGAAATAAGTCATAATCTTAGGAGAGAAGGGTGTTACTAAATAAAATAGTTGTAGCTGCATTAATCGGGGAATCTAGCCCCTGTTTCTTTATTGACCCTGTCTAATCTCTGATTCTTTAGACAGTAATGGGAAGCCATTCTTATTTATTTATTTTTTTAGCATGGTGTAGGAAATTGATTTGAAAACTTCTTCCTGCCTAAAAAAAAAAAGAAAAAAAAGAAAAAAGAACTGCGTCAAGAATCTAAAGTCTTCTCCATTGCACAGCAGGAAATATAAGGAAGAAGTCACTGAAATAAAACAGAAATATTTTTATATATATAGACTTCAGGTTGCCGCTTCCCTACACCTTTGTCATAATAGCCTCTGGTGAAAGTAATCAAACAACTGTTTTCTCCTAATCTAAATTATCTAGTGTTGCAAAACAATGTTACCTTCTTCGTCTTCATCATCGAACAGGGAACCGATGTGGGGAGCTTGCTAGGAGCTGAGACGCACCTTTTAATTACTCGCACTTTGAGAAGAAAACAAATCCTGTTGGATTGAAATTAAAGTTGCTGTTAACAGGATATCCAGTTTTAAAAATATCAGGTGAGTATAAAACACAAGTGACTCAGACATGAGCTGCCATGTATCCTAGGCTTCTTTCTTAGAGGGAAGGTGGCTCAGACAGAGTCCTTAAAGGGATAGGCCTCAGGGTCTGTGCAGGGTGTGGCAATGGTGGTAAGGAGGAGGAGAGCTACAGGATCTGATGGCCTTGAGGAGCCCAGAGGCTTCTGTATTCCCACT